TCACTGATCATAAAGCTGCATCTATCAGAATGAAATCCATATGAAATACCTGTTTTAGACATTGGTAGGTGCTGGACATAAGCAGCAGATCCATCCTCCAGCTGAATCACTTGTCCTTCCATTATTTTATTTTCTGTGAGATTTCTGTTGTATGCTGTGAGATTTGAATAGTGACCAAGCAAGAAAATTTGTGCAGGTTTTGTAACGACACAATATTTGTTGTATGATAAATGGAATGCAGGACATCCTCAAATGAGTAAATAAAATGTCTTAGTATTTTATTTCTTACATTTATTCTGTATAGAAATAGTCAGACAGAAGAACAACCTGATTATTAGCTAATGCATGACAAAAGGTAGTTCTAAATGTGTAGTTACAATACCTTTAGGGCTATGCTGGATGTATGCTGTGGAGCCATCCACCAGAGTCACAGCCTGCAAACTCACTGTGTCCATTCCCTCCATGTTGTCATCTGTGTAGTTACAGTTGGCCATTATGAGTCTACATTGCACTATGAACAAAATATAATACTGTTGCATAGATTTTATACACATCCATCTCACCTGCAACTGTTACTGCCTCTGTCAGGCAAAGGGTGACCTGCTGCGGGTCCCCATCCACACATTGAAACTCCATGCCCTGGGTGTCCCGATTCACCTGGGCTAAGAGCATGATCTGCCTGTACAAACCAACCAACAACCATTAAAGATTTACAGTTAAAACCCAGAGGCCTTGATTGATTGGTGTGGTTTTTTTTAGTACTCTTATTATTTTACAAAAGAGACCAACAGTCCATTAACTACTTGTATGTCCCTAAATGTATTTCACAATTACCTTAACAATATTCATTGTACATACTGCAAACATAAACTGAAAAAATGGCAGGATATTATATTCTTATAGTCATTGATTATGATCATGGTTTTGTGCTTTAGTACTCCTCCTCTATGGCACAATTTTTTAAAAGATTCCTACATATTTTAAAAATGATCTAATATAGTCAATGTTAGTACTATTACTAATACAGTATTGTTTAGAACTGTTCTTGTGTGACTTGCTCGTGTTGTCCATGTCCTATAGCAAGTCATTTTAATATGCATTTCTTAAAACTAACTAGTATCCGTTTTTGTCCTAGTACTTTCACAATTTAAAAATACTTTATTTATTCATTATGTAGATGTATTATAACTGTGTATTGTGATTGTGTATCAGTGATTCAGATATCAACTAGTAGCAGTCCAATATTAGTCCAGATATCAACTGACTAGTAATCCAAATGTTACGGGTACCATTTCTACTTTAACTAATAACCTAAACAACTAGGAATTATTTCTTAGATACTGTTTAAATTTCAGTAGTTACTAGTATCTCTTTCAGCTTTATATGTAAAATTTTGCGTTGTTACTTTACATATACTTACGACTCATGATGTTATGGTTCACTAACGACTCTTCTAGTATTATTAATCATGTTACTTGTACCAATGGAGCACATTCTAGTATCTATTCAATTAGTAGTGATAAAATTAAATATGTACCAGCAATAACTACAATACCTACTAGTCAGACGTTAATAGGGGAACCACAGATCCCCAAAGGATTCAATGGCAAAAATGTGTAATTTGTCACCAGTAACAATGGAATATTAATATTACTCACTATGAGAATATTATTTTTATACAAACAAATTCTAATAAAAGTGCTAGTAACACAAAAATAGTTATTTTATGGAATAAAAATAAAAAAGGAAATGTTAAAACAACCTGCCATAGAATATACTGGATAGCATTCTGCAAAAAGAGTTATGTTTCTCAAATGGTAAAATAAAAATGTTGCGATTCGGCACGAGTATGGAATACAAATACTGTTAACGCGGGCATTTCATCACTAATGTCCATTTTAGTCAAATAGCTACGAAACAACTTTGTAAACAATAACACTAGGGTTATATAAACATTTAGGCAGGAATGCAAAGGCTGCCCGGCAAAAGTTTATCGTAAATTATTAGTTTTATATGTTGACAGGACATCCGTCATGCTAACTCTTCCACACATGTTAGCAAATATGCTACAATAATGCTCGCGTTTTACTTCTGCAGTTTCCTAATGTTTACATACTAAAAATCGCCGTTGGGATTCATATAACTATGCCATCTCCCAAACTAACGCAAAGCAATACTTGTCTGTCCTTTATAAAGGCGTTTAAACATAAAGGATCGACCGTTAGCTCACACTGAATTCGTTGCTGCGGTAACTTGACAATCACAATCGGAACGTAACAATGTTGCAACCGATTACAACCCTGAGTCCAACTGCCTTTAATAAATAAAACACCGCTTCCGATGCATTTTCAGTAGTTTATTTCATTCTGCATCCCACATAGACTTCCACCACACTTCATTCGCCGCACTCTCCGGCCAAGTGGCGTCTGAGGAAATAAGGCACACTGGGTAAAAACACATTTATATACTAACCTCCGAAAATTTTCCAACAATCCCTTCGTTCGACCACCATGCACCAGGGCAGGAAACGCTATGCAGAAAATACAACCCCAGAACCTGAATATCGGAAGAGTTCCTCAAACTGATCCTTAATACTCATATGTGATTGGCTGAAGAAGACTACTGCCGCGCTCCCATTGGCTGAACGCCCGTCAATGCGAATTTGTGCTGTCAGAAATTCACGTTCAGGGGCACCTTAGGGACGCCATTCGGGTCTGTTGGGTGTATTGTTCAAGCGTGAATAAGCAAATCTAGCACAGCAATGTCTGCCCGTGACAAATTCACTTGGCGGATAGATGCGGCGGATTTTGTGTGCGTTTCTTCGAACGTCATGACGTGACCAGTGGTTTTATTGTTTTTATAACAGCACATTTTTACAGTGTGTCACAGAAGGCTTGGTAGCCATTTTGAATTGCATTATATCATGGCTGGAGTGAGGATGCATGGGCAATGCAGTGCAGTAGAAAGGCTTTGCCTTTACTGTTGGAATAGACTTCTAAGCTCGTATGAAGGAGATTTTATACCAGGATATAAATTGAAGGATATAAATTGTTATACCATGCTTATTTTTTATGTCATTTTTAATGTGTGATGCTTATGCAAAAAATTAAAGCAAAAAAAAAAAATCACAATAATGTTTGAAAATGTAATGTGGGATATAAAAAATACAATTAATTATAAAGATTATATATATATATATATATATACAGCTATTAAAATATTTTAATATTAAAAAATTTTTATGAAATATTTTCTTTTAAAGACATTTTCACAGTTAAGTGAGCAAATGCGTTTTGCTCCTTGAATAACAGTGAGAATCTACAGTTAAAATTTTAAAGTTGCTCGATAAGACCATTTCTGATGGAAAATTTCAAACAAAAAAGGGCTGTTGGGCAGTGACAGTATGTATCCCTTGGCACACATAATCTGAAGACATGTAAGGTCCTAAAGACTAGGCTACAAAAGTCCAGTTTTAAATTTTATATACCATAGAAAAATAAGTGTGCATTCCATTGCATTGTGTGTCAAGTCCATTTTTGCAGGAGACTTGCAAATGAAGGAATGATAATTTGAGTTATCTTGTGCTTTTCTGCATATTGCAATATTTGCAAGTTGGGTTCTTTCTCCAAAACATCATGTATTTTTCATCAGCTTTTCTCACCTCAGTGTCTTCTTCACATTTCAGTTTCAGTGGAAAAGGAGATGACAGCGTATGAATCTATTTTAGGACTGAGAGTCTGTCACGGGATGGACGTCATAGCACTCAGGTTCTGAAATCAGGTTCAGGTGACCCTTTCTGGTGCAGAATGACATTTAATGGCATTTGTCAAACCACATTTCTAAAAGTTTCGCCCCTTCTTTTTACTATTGCTGCAGCTTCTTGAACCCAAAACAATCCTACTGTCAGAATGCTGAATTATAAATAAAGGGCAAAAGTCATTTCAAGAGCCTTAATAAAATTAGTGCCTGTAGAGTGGTTCATACAAACATATAAATAAAATTATAAACAAACATTCAAACCAATCACTGTACTTACTATTACTATCCAATATTTCATTTAGAGATTTAAATTATGCATTTATATAGTTGTTATATAGTTTTTAGTAAAACTATTATATAGTTTTTTAGTAGCAAATTTGCATGTATATTAAGGGATACATAAAAATTCTGTCATATTTTACTCACCCTCATGTCATGTTAATTTTTGTTAATATACTCATACATATTTTACATAGACTGTAAAATATACATTAAAAAATAACCTACATGTGTGATTACTTTTTTTATTATTATTGTTTATGTGACTTAAAGGAACACTATCACCAGAATGGCACATTCAGACACACTTAAAAGATAGTTCACCCAAAAATGAAAATTCTGTACTCATGTATGAATTTCTTTTTTCTGATAACAAACGAAGCTATTTTGAAGAATGTGAGTAAACAAGCAGTTGTTGGTCCCCATTGACTTCCATAGTATGAAAAAAAAAATGTGAAAGTCAATCGGGACCAGAAACTGTTTGATTACCCACATTCTTCAAAATATCTTGTCTGTGTTCAGCCGAAAAAAGAAATTCATACAGGTTTGAAATAACTTGAGAGGGAGTAAATTATGACAGATTTTAATTTTTGTGTGAACTATCCCTTTAAAACCTGTTCCCAAGTGCACATCAGATGCTCTCTGCCACCACTAGATGGATGCAATTGACAAGTTTAAGGCTGGACAGTGGCTCACTATGGCAACCTCAGTACACAGTAGAGAGTGGATCATTACTAGGGACCTTACAAAAATTGCTACAGTTTTCAAGTGTTTTAGGAATCAAGAACGGTATGAATACTTTTTGTTTGTTTTTATTTGTATTTTCATTTTTACATTTGCTTTCTATCCGAAAAGATGAAAAAAAGCTATTTGTGTTAACAGAAGCTAGTCAGATTGGTCTTTAAGTCAACTACAACTGAGCAAATTCTAATGCGTTGCAGATTATTCTGTCAGACTTGACAATGTCATCAAGTCTTCAGCTATCTCACAGTCAAAGTGTCCTTCCCTTGTTCATGGGTAAAGGCAGAAATGTCACCTTCGTTCTGGACTCCTCTGTGGGAATGAATGGCTTTTTGGGACCAGTGAAGAATCTTATCATTCAAACCTTGATTACTAAAGCTTCACTCAGAGACTCGCTCTTCAACATTATCAGCTTTTCATACAAGGTAAATTTACAATTAATCCCTTTATTAAAAAAAAAAAAATTAATATTGTATTAATATATAATAAAATTATATATTTTATTAATAATAAATATGTTTATGGTATTTGTCCATGCAGTATTATTGTCTCCAATATTGATGATGCTGCATGTTTGGTTTATATAAAAAAACTAGTTTTAAATACAATATGATAGAAACTATTTTTTTTTTATCTTAATGTGTTGTTTATTAAATTCAAAAGTTATATCAAATTCAATAGGAATACTCTAGGTGTGCCTGTAAAAGGCCAGTGTTGTCCAACCATCCATCCATTTTACAAACGGCTTATTCTGAGTGAAAACCCTGGATGGGTTGTCAGTCCATAGCAGGGCTAGGCTATGTTATTCAATAAAAAAAATATGTATTTCTTGTTTAAAATCAATTTATATTTTACTAGTCAACAGCATGGTCTTCTCACATGATGCCCTGCACCCCTGATGTAGTCTATGAAGCATTGAGCTGGATCCACACATTACAGACAAGTCCTGGCAGAGACCTCCACTCAGCCCTGGCCTTAGCATTCTCTGACCCCGTCTGTCAGTCTGTCCATTTAGTGACCAGCGGTCTCCCAGACAACCCACCACAATGTCTAGCTTCATTTTCAACCCTGGTGATGCGCCCTGTGGATACATTTTACATATCTGACAAGACTCCCATGAACACTGACATATCAGACTTCTTGCAGTGCATCACGTCCACCACTAGAGGAAGCTGTTACGTCATGACGCTCAACTCAGCTGGCAATGTGGACCAGGTAAGATGTTGAATGTTTGTATGGTGTCCACCACTTATACTGTTTATCCTTTGTTAATCAGATTTTTTTTTTTTTTGCCATTTAATGTTTTAAAATGAAACAGCTCAGTTTGTTGCATTCAACGGATGACTTGATTGAAAAGTCATCAGACTCAGAAGACCCATGTCGTTCAGTAGACTTCAATCAGGTCCCATTCTACAACTGCACAAGCTGTGTCTGTTCCTTACCGTACTGGTATGTTTTTTAATTTAATTTCTAATTGGAAAGAGAGAAAGTAAGACAGACAAAAGGCAAGACATAATTACATTGTGGGATATTATTTATATATATATATATATTTCTTTGCAGGTGTTCCCCTATGAATCCTTTTAGTACAGTATCATGTGTATCTGCTAGGGTAATGCGAGGTGCTGAGCTTTTTCCTGGCTGCCGTGTGTTAGCCAGAAGAGAGATAGACGGGTTTTACTACCTGGGGACAATCATACATCAGGTATTGTAAATATAAAGGACATCATCATGAACACTCCTGGTCAATAGGGGGTTCTGTAAGATTTGTTTGTTTGTTTGTTTCTGTAAAAAGCCTTTTATGTTCAGCAAGGCTGCATTTATTTGATTAAAAAATACAGTAAAAACAGTAATGCTGCAAAATGTAATTTCATATGAAGTAACTGTTTTCTAATTTAATATGTATGAAAATGTATTCCTGTGGTGGCAAAGCTGAATTTTCAGCAGCTATTACCCCATTCTTCGGTTTCAAATGATCCTTCAGAAATCATTCAAATATTCTGATTCGAGATTCAAGAAACATTTATTATTAATGTTGAAAACACTTATTTTTGTGGAAACTGTGATACTTTTATTCAGGATTTTTTTTCTTTAATGAATGGCAAGGTAAAAAAAACAGCGTTTACTTGATATAAAAACTATTGTAGCATAAAAATATCTTTACTGTCACTTTTGATCAATTTAATGCATTCTTCCTAAATAATTAATTTCTTAAAAAAAAAAAAAAATTTCCTGACCCCAATTTTTAGAAAGTTTATCTTTAAATATAGTCAGCACTTCAAAATAAAACGGATTTTTTTTTTAAAATTCTAATCCAGATCACAATTTATTAAACATTTTAAACATTTCTTGTCTGTCTCTAGGGCAGAGGAAATCTTTATACGGTGGAGTTTGATAAGTTTGGACCTAAAGGAAATACATTTATGGACACATTAAATACAGTTCAGCCAATTTGCCAGCCTGATATGGTTAGTCTAGCCAGTGCACATAGGCACAGTATAGTACCAGGAGACACTGTTCTGGCACCATGGGAGCCAGACATGAGACGATATGGGCCTGGAAGAGTCATCTCCGGTATGGAGCTAAGAGATCCGCTTAAAAGTGAGATGTATATACAAATTTTGAACCAATACTTTTTTGAGCATCATATGATTGATATGAGTAACTGAATAAACCTAGGGGAAATGGCTCAGATCTGTTGTCTCATTAAAGGTGACGAAGGTCTTTTAGGACTCCAGGTTCTCTTCTGGAACGGGATGACAATTCATGTTCCCAAACAGCTCGCAGTATGGATTCCAGCCTCTCATCATGAGCAAATTATCAAAGACCTCCAGCATTATTCATCTCGGCCATGTTGCTACAGGGTCTCCCACTGCGCCACCATGAATTGTTTTGAATTGCCATGTCACCAGTGCAACCACCTCAGTCTGCCCTCCATTCCACCATGCCATCCAGTCAAGAGATGCTGGCCAATGTTCATGTCATCTCCACTACTGAATAACCAAAGGAGAGATGAGCTGGAGAGGAAATTTGATCTCCAACTTAAAGAACTACAGAGCTCTCAACAGACACAAGTGCCTTCATGTTCCTCATCATCAACCTGTGACTCAGATGAGAATGAGGAGGATACTGCAGCTGAAAAACACAGGCCTTCAAGAACTTCAGAACTGGTGAGCCGATCAATAAACACAGAGATTTCCTGCCTGAGAAAGCCATACACTCAACCTGAGACCAGACCGGCCTGGAGATACTGGAAAAGGGGTTCTGCAGAACCACAGCACAAGAAACCAGGTAATGACAAAATATTTACAATATAGCTGTCAAAATGGGCAAATACAATACAATAAAAACACTTATGAACTGACACAGTTTTTTTGACCATATATAAAATGTTTGGGGTCAGCATGTTTTTGTTTGTTTGTTTGTTGAAAGTAATTCATATTTTTATTCGGAAAGGATGCATTAAATTGATTAAAAGTTACAGTAAAGACATAATGTTGCAAAAGATTTCTATTTCAAATAATGCTGTTCTTAGTCCTGAAAAAAAGTATCAAAATATTTTATCAAATTATTAAGCACGTCAGCGGTTTTCAACATTGATATGAAATTTTTGAGCACCGAATCAGCACTGTTTTTACTGTATGTTTAAATAATGATTAAAAATCATTATCATCCGATCATAATCATACTGACCACAAACTTTTGAACAGTAGTGTACAGGGTACAAAAGTGTGCAGGCGAACTAAACATAATTTAGAATCATTTGGTCTAAATTCAAGTGCTGGAAAAAATACTTTCTTTGTCTTACAAAAAATATTTAATTTGTACTGACTCACTAAGTGTTCTTGGTATTTCAGGAAGAGCAGTCAGGTCTCCAAATGTCAGCCATTCTTGGCCTAAAGACACTGGGAATTCTGGGAGCTCTACAGATAACGCTATGATGACCAATCACAGCTCTTTATTTAAGCTGGTTCCTGATTCACCAAAACGAGGAGTTAATATGAGGGAAATATTTGGATCAGCACAAGGCCAACTAAACTGATAGTTCCACAGCCAAAGTTCAGAATGTTATGAGTATCGCCAGTGAGCTTTTGCTGATGTTTTTCCCCAGAGATGATATTTGTTTGTAAATCAAACATCCTATGGTTGGTGTACTAATTAAATACAAAAGACTATTGTGTAAAATCATGCAAAACTTTATTAAAACTTTAAAGAATAAACAAAGCAAAATGTATGGCTTTTATGGCTCAATATAAATTCATGATTACTATAAAAAATTTATAAATATTCCTGAGTATTAAACAACAACACTTATGAATACTCAAAAAAATCTAAGTCAGTGCATTTACAATTGTGCAAGTCCTCAATTAAGGCACTGAATTTCATACATATAATATACAGGTGAAGTTCAGAGTTTGAATGTAAGGCTCATGCTTTCTCCTGCATTGATGCGGACAGTTTTCGACTGTGGCTTTGTGTCCTGCATTGCTGCTGTGATGGAATAGGTGCCTGGAGACACTTCAATAAGGAAATCCTCTGGTTCTGATGAACCCTTCAAACAAATATGTAGATGAACCAAAAGAGTTGATTAGCAGAATAAACGTAGTAACTATGGCCTGGTTAAATATGGTTCCTATCTGCTCAAAACCAACGTAAAAGCATAGTAAAAAAAAGTTAAGTTCATACACAATAAGACTTTTCACCCCAGGTTATTGTCCACTTTTAAAACCGGGTAAAGGAACATTTCACACTTGCAATATAGAAGCAGGGTTAGCACTGCTTTTTACCCGGGTTATGAAACCCTTCCCCAGAGCACCGTTGCACCATTAACAATACATGGACAAGCATGTCCAGTGTGAAGTGATGCAGTGTTAGAATGTTACAACTAGATGATTAGCAACAGACACTCGATCGCCCGCTTCATATTCACGTGCTTTGGACAGAAAGCTCACTGAAAAACTTGATAGCAGTTGCAACAGCCTATGTAGGGCTTTTTGTAAACATGTTGCATGCTGCGTTAATCCAGTCAATGACTCTGACTCTGCAAATATGCAAACATTAACACCAGGTTTAGGAATGTACAGTGTGAAATGTCAGCATATGAATACCCAGGATTAATTGTTAACCCCAGATAAATTATGAGCAGTGCGAAACGTGAAGCAAGATAACCCAGGATGCCATCAAACTGGGGTTTAGAATGACCCAGGGTTAACTATTTCAAGTGTGAAAATCCCTACAATGGCAAAAAAAAGTATGGCATATTTTTGTCAAGCTCAGTACTTACAATGTCTCGTTTGATTGCTGCACTAGCATTCTGTTTCTGGTCTGCGGTCCTCAACATCTGTTGGGAATGGTAGCGACAGATGTGTTCTTGCTCACTGGGCCGAGCCAGGTTCATAGTCTCATAAAACTTCTGTTAAAGAGGTACAGGCTGTTTTTTTCTAATTCAAATCTCAACACAGTTAAAGTAAATGAATAAGGCATTTTCACCTTGCATTGTCCGGTAGTTTCTGACATGTATTCCACTATTTTTGAAAAAGCATGGTCCAAGTCTGAATGGAAAATGTCACACTGTAACACAGGGGGAAGAAAAATCAAAGCATTAGTGTCATGGACAACATTTTTATTGATCAAACCAATACCAATTGAGTCTACACACCTCTGAGTTTATTTCATTGTGATCGAACACGGGTGATGATCTTGGTCTTGTACTTGAGCAGCTAAAAGACCGTCTCTTCGCTTTTTCCAACACCTCCTGCCCAAGTTTAGATGAACGGCGCAGGGAAGAGTCCAGGTCCAACCAGGATTCATTGGCCATGTACACAAGCGTACTGGACTGCACTAGAATTGAATTTTCGCCACAATTTTAAACGCATGCATTGCAAACATATGAACATACGCTTTTTGTCTGCAATTTAAAACTCACAACGCAAAACTTACGATCCAATGACGCCCAAAATGTTCGTTGTTTGCTCTTTGAACTCTATAAACTGATCGTCACATTCAGACCAATGATTCCAAACTGTTGCCGCTGTATGTTAGTGATGGGCGAGTGAAGCTAAAGTGAAAGTTGAAATGCATTTCCTCCTTTCCCACGGGTTGCTGGGAAATGAAGTCTTTTGTCCGTGGCCGACACAAACAAGAACACCAATATCATACGTTTTTCTACAATTTAAGCTGTCAAGTTGTTCAATACGACATAGCCTACTGTTCAAAACATTTAAAAGTATTTATATAGGCTATTAAAGCGGTCATATGATGCGATTTCAATTTTTCCTTTCTCTTTGTGCGTTTCAGAAAGGCGGGGCATATAGGAGAAACAATAATGTACAGTATGTGGAAAATAATGTGTTTTTTGAACCTTAAACCGCATAAACACATTTCATTACACCAACTACACAAAATAATGTTCTTTTTAGCAACATCATATGACCCCTTTAAATAATCTCCATCTAAAATACATATTAATCTATTTCCATCATGTGACTTCTTATGCCCATTCACCATATTTCTGACCATATGTCTATTACCAAATTTACACCACAAAGATGGCACAGAAGCACATACCTAGATATTTTTATGCAGGCTGTTTGATGCTCCTCAGAGCTGACATAAATGCATTTACATGGATACAAATACAACTGTATGCTTTGATATAAGGTCTGAGGTGGGTTAGAGCAGGCTTAATTTAGTCTGGCTTTTATGCATTACATCTTTACACATAATTTTAAGCAGGCACAGAGCAGCCTTAACTCGACTGTGTAAAGATGCCTTTTGTTTATGACCATGAGCGGGACTTTAAAAAAGCATGAACAGAGATACCAAGAAAACGTTAATCATTGGATTTGATCCACACCAGGTCCCAGAAAACATATGAACAGTTCTGAAGTTAGCACAAACCAAGCAAATTCAATTTTTTACAGTCCATCTCCTTATATAGCGCTGTATATGGAGAGTGCAATATATAGTTCGGTAAAGTTGGCAATTCACAGATATGGAGAAGAGTTGTGGATAAATATATCTTTACAAGATATGAATCCTTTTTCACCAAACATTTTGATGCATGGAGGCATCATAAAGCTTAAAGGGGTCATATGACGTTGCTAAAAAGAACATTATGTTGTGTATTTGGTGTAATGCAATGTGTTTATGCGGTTTAAGGTTAAAAAAACACATTATTTTCCACATAATGTACATTATTGTTTCTCCTCTATGCCCCGCCTTTCTGAAACGTGTCGATTTTTACAAAGCTCATCGGTCTGAAAAGCGATGTGTGCTCTGATTGGCCAGCTATCCAGTGCGTTGTGATTGGCCGAATACCTCAAGCGTGTGACAGAAATGTTATGCCCCTTAACATACTGTGATGCCTTCTGATGCGCGATGAGTCAACACAAATAAAACCCATTACAAACGAGGCATTTGTTGCATCCAGTGGGGACATAATTACGGATTATAATGACTAAATCATTCTAATATGCTGATTTATTATTAGAATTATCAACAGTTGTGCAGCCAAATATTTTTAAGTTACGCCTTCTTTCTTTGCGTGAACGTTTGGGCGGCGTTATGCAAATCTTCGCACATCGTGACGTAGACATGTGGGGGTGTGTTTAAACAAGGCGTTTTAGGAGGGCGTGGAAAGTCTTAACTTTTATAAAGAATATCTCTTTGGATTTGAGACTTTAGTCTTTGCAACTTTACAGATCTTCTTTATGCACCAAGAGCTTGTAACACTCCAAAGAGAAAGGAAAAATTTAAATCGCATCATATGACCCCTTTAAGAGGATTACTACAGCAGATGCTTAGTAATTATTTGACATCCAAGGGCCACAGCCAGTCACTGATTGACTAGTGTGCCATAAGGACATGTGACGTGAGTAACACAGCATACTGCATCAACAACAAATCAATGTTCCAATTCTCAAAAAAATTTAAATGTAAACTCACTGAATGCAGCTGAAAAAAGCTGTTGTTATTTGATTGTGTCTCTGGGAACACATCCATCCTGTGACTGCTCTGTGGTTTATCAAACATTCATAAGGCATTCTACAGGAAGAAAGACCATAGATGGGCAAACAAAACAAAACAAAACAGGAAGTGCCAGCATTGAATGCATCATAGACTTTAAGAGTAAATACTGATATATATAAATATTGACACTGTTACCAAGGTTTCAGTGCTATCCAGTGAGGAAACCTCCCAATAGCATCCTTCTTACACTTCCCACGCAGTCTAACAGGCTCTCTGCACTGAGATTGAAACCCACTGTGCTCGTCCAAGTGAATAGAATTCATTCAACGGTACTGGTGTTGGGTCCATGTGCCATCTTTAAACACCATCTGCTTCAACACACTCTGTTTATACACACGTTTATTATATGTTTTGGGGGTGCACAAGAAATCGTGACGCATTATAAGTCAACATGTTGATTTGACTATATAAATATATAATTTGCCGTGTGCCTGCAAATTGTGGCTCTGTTTTCACTCTCTCTGCAGATATGGGACAGAGGCTCACATGCACAGAGCCACATGCCCTGATTCACCCTTGACTGTCCCGAGAGAGAGAGGGAAAGAGAGAGTGTGCACAAGTTACTGGAGAGATGAGATCAGGGATTTAAGAGTGCACAAAATTACATCCACACGTGCACTTCATGTTATGTAAGAGCCTTGACTGCCTCACTGTATGCTGTAGGATAACAGCAGCAGTGAGCGGACAGGCAGAGCAGATGCTGTGTACATACACAGGGAAGCCTACACTTAATACAGCAGGAGAAACAGAGAAGAATCTGCCATTTTTAGAAGCTATGGGCATAAGCCTGGATGCACTAAGCTTGGATGAGTTTGGATATTCAATGACACTTCTAGGAAAAGGAGCTATTTCTGAGATTTCTTTCATGTGGCACTATGAATGGATTATAATCAGCAATGTTTAGCTTGCTACGCAGAGTATTGTGATCACCTCAGGACATATCTACTGCTTTGATCCTTATCTTGCGGCCCCTGGGGGCCTTTGATCATGACATCAGCGTGGTCCTTGATGTGGGTTGTGTGTGGACTGACGGTGTGGATTCCCCACACTCACGCAGCCTCAGTGAACCCCAATCTGCTCATGACCACCTCTGATCCAACCACTGTCGAGCAACCAATCAATCCAGAACATCTGACTGAACCTTCAGATTTATTCAGCAACAATGACACAGGTGAGATGTGAGGTGCTGATGAAAACATTAAGTTTTTAAACTTTGAAAACTAACCTTCAGGAAATAAATATCAGGGAAAATATATCTTTATGTATATCTTGATATACTTAACATATAGTATATTCATATGTATGAAAATGAAATAAAAAAGCATGGTTTCTCAACACTCAAGCAACCTCAGTGAGTTCCATTCTGCTCATGACCATTTCTGATGCAAGTACTGAAGCACAATCAACCACTCCAAAACATCAGAATGTCTCTACAGATCCACCCAGCAGCAACAACACAGGTGCGAACAATTGAAGACACTGCAGCAGACACTCAAGAGGATGGATGGATGGATGGATGGATGGATGGATGGACGGACGAACAGACAGAAAAGCAGACACATATACAGAGACAGACAAACTGATATATAGATAGATAGAGAGAGAGACAGATAGACAGACAGACAGACACATATACTGAGACAGACAGACACTTTTTAGCACTTTGTGTATACAATTTCTCCTTACCTGCACAATGGGTGAACTGTGTGGAATTAATCAATATTTGATAAAGGGCCTTATCTTTATTTAATCAGTTGCTATTCCAAAAGCGGGGAGGAACTGGGGGGGATTTGAGCAAGAGGATCAAGAAGCTATATAGGGAAGACAGTCACTGATATGCTGGCACCGATACAAAGCAAAATATACTCTCAGAGCATTATGCAAATAGAAGACATGTACACATTAATGAAAATTCACTGTGGTTCACCACCGGATACAAAGATGCGTGAGATGTCTCACTACAAAGGACAGATGTCTGCAGTGATGACAGCAAGATGTATGTGGCAGTAAAAAATATATAACATATGCAAAAAATGTTGGAACTGGAATGATACAGTGGCAGTCATTTCCTCAGAGGGTTTCATGATGACGCATTTATTGGATTTGAAAGCTTTTACAGAATGACTGAATAAATTCAGCCATGTGTCGTGAGACAGATTATTATTTAATCACAGTTTAACACATCATAAAATATTGAAAGCCCGATTGTATCCATCTACACTTCTGTCTGTCCATGTGTTCCTCCAGGACTTGCGTGTATCTCTGTGCTTCCCCCACGACGGGGATCATACTATGTGGAGCACGGCACGGGGGTATCTGTGGGCTCCATGCTTGTGTTCTGGTGTAAGGAGGGCTACCAGCTGGTTGGCCATGAGAAAATCACATGCATCCTACATGCGGGCGTCCCTCGATGGAGCAGCTACCTGCCAGTCTGTGAGAGTAGGGCAGCCATTTTGTCTTATATTCCAAGAAATCATCCTAATTACCCTGATTATTGTTTCCATAGGCAACTTTGTCCATTTCCATTAAATGTAAGTGAATGTATGATTTAGGTTTATGGTTTGGTATAAAATACCTTAAGAATATTTACAGGGTTTATTTTTTCAGTTGTAATATAACTGGCCATCATATCTGGTAAAATAAACACTATTCTTTTCAGGTATCCCTCGGCCAAATGACCAGGGACTTCACATTGCTTTACTGGTGTCTGTTGTGAGCGGGGTGGTCATTCTTGTCATGACTGTGTGCTTCATCGTCTGTTGTTGTCAAGAGTGCATGAGGAAAAAGAAGGAAAAGCATCGGATGGGTAGAAGCAGGTTAGTCATTTTAATAATTAAAATAACCTTAAAGATTACATATTTTGAAATTAAAAAATCATCAAAATAATGAAAAGTGTTGTGTCTTTCAATAATATAAACGTAACAAATATATAGCGGCCCCATAAAGTAGTTACACTTAAAGATGAATGTATAATTGTCTCAAATCAAGTTATTAAACCAAGTGGCATTTTTCATTTC